TCAGAAACAGTCGGCCTTGTGCCATACGATGAATTTCCAGCATCCAAAGATTCAGTGCTGATTTGAGACCGACCCTGCCCTGTCTGATTTTCACCACTGGCCTTTACAGTAGCTGTGGTGTTTGTGTTGGATTCGGTGATAGCTTTAGACTGCCCTCTCTTTACATCATATTTGTCAATATCCTCATACTGGTGACTATCACCACTGGCCACTACAGTAGCTGTGGTGTTTGTGGTGCATTTAGCAATGACCTGGGTCTGACCCTGCCCTGTCTTAACACGTAGATTGTCAACATCCTCATCCTGGTGATCATCAACACTGGCCATTACAATAGCTGTGGTGTTCATGCTGGATTCAGGGTGGCCCTGCCCTGTCTGATCATGAGCACTGATTGGTTGTGTTGAAGTTAGGTCGCGTGGTGTTGTTCCCACACCCGCATACATAGGATTTGTTTTTAAGGCAGCGAGCACTTGATCATGGGGTAGATTTCCAGCATTCAGAGATTGAATGTTAGCCTGGGACTGGCCCTGCACTGTCTGATCATGACCAGTACCCACTATATACCTTGTTGTCTGTGTGTTGCTATCCACAACATTTGGATTCATACCTGAAGGAGGATGTCTGTCTCTCTTCTTGTACCACACTATAAGAGTGATAGCACCAATCACGGCAATCAGACCAGCTACTGGACCACAGACTGAGCCAATGAGAACAGGTAGGGAAAAACTGGGAGCAGTTTCTGGTTTGTCTGAAGTGATTGCAGGGGTGGGGGTTGAAGTGGGTATTGCTCTTGTTTTGCCTACAGAGCTTGTTGTTGAGTCAGCATTAGATTCGAAGTACGAGTGGTCGTAATAGGTGTAAGAAGTCGTATGGATATCAGGAGCCAATGTTGATATGTTTGGCTGTTCACATATCAATTCTTCAGGCTTGACATTTGCAAGCTTCTGTCCCTGAAGTTTGGCGGGTTGGGCACAAATTATCTGGTCTTTTAATGAGAAAATTGGCTTAAAAGGAGCCATCCTACAGTCACACTGCCAAGGGTTGCCGTCAAGTTTTATGTAATATAGATATAGGATCGTTTTAAAATCTGAATGGGAAGAGGACGGTGAGCAGAAACTGCTTTTCTTAAATTGTAAACATTGGAATAGTGGCAGATTTGCAAATACACTAGTTTGGATGGTGGTTATCTGGTTGTTCGACAGGCACAATCGTTTTAGCTTGGGTAGATTTGCAAATGAACCAGGCTGAATTATTGCTATCTGGTTGTTCGGCAGATACAAATGTTTTAACTGGGTTAGATTTGCAAAAGTGCCAGGTTGAATGATTGTTATCTGGTTGTACGACAGATATAAAACTTCAAGCATCGGTAAGTTTGCAAACGTACCAGGTTGAATCTTTGTTATATTGTTGTGGTTCAGTTGCAAATCGTCAAGTCGGAATAGGTTTGCAAATGTACCAGGCTCAATGTTTGTAATCTGGTTGTGGTACAAGACCAATTCTTCTAACTGTGGTAGACCTACAAATGTACCCTGATGAAGCATTGTTATCTGGTTGCAGCTCAGATCCAAATATTCTAGCCGGGACAGATTTGAAAGTGTACCAGGCCAAATCACTGATAACTGGTTGCCATGCAAGTACAACGCCGTTACATTAAAGTACGGTGCAAGTTGTTGGCTAGTTACATTTCTGATAAGGTTACTTCCAAAGTTAAGGCATTCGTGCGGCATTGGGGGGAATTTAGGGATACTGGTGAGGCTCATGTTGCATTGTGAAGTTTTACAGTGTGAATATTCACAGCTGCAAACCTCGGATTTGTGTACCTGCCAGGTACAGTCGGCTTCGGCGTCCTTCAATATGATGAGAAGGAAAATCAGCAAGTGTCGCAGCTTTCTTCCCATGGTGTCTGGGGCCAACTAAATAAAACAGTAAATCTCATCAGTATGGCCCCTCAAACATTGTCCTCAACCTCAAATCTTAATTAAACCAGAATGTTCAAATATTTAAACATATACAATAAGAACTTGGGCTCTCACATAGTGCACCCCCCTACTGTTGATAATACTGAGGTCTGTGGCAGCGAGCATCAGTAATATAGTCATTACTCTTGCCTAGTATGGGTATTTACATATGCATTAGGAGTGGGTGAAAGGGTGTGTGGGTGGGAATCATTATTTCTTCTAAGAAATAATTAATTATTGATATTTGATTGTGCATTGCCAGCTATTGTAAGAGGAGCAAAGCAATGTACCAAAGGCTGGCATAGACTTTTTTTTTACTATTTTTGAGATTAATATTTTCTGTTTAGACAAAGTAACCGCCAGAGCTTCACACTCAAGAAATAGAAATCAAAGGTTATGTATCTATAACTAACCTTCCGTCCAAGCAGGTGTTGGGGTGAAAACATTCTGACAGACGGGATTCCCTGACACTTATTTACCCTTCCAAACGACACAATATTCCACCTAACATCTGCTTAGAGATTTGAACCATGATTAAGCCATAACAAACTATCTAGATCTACACAGCAGATTTTGCTTCACTTATTGTCCACTAGCAGACTCATGCCATCATACCATTTGAACCAGTCGAAGTAGCTTCAGTTGGCACTTTTTGAATAGGAAGTCAGGCAGAGTACCTCTGGTACAGGTTGCTGTTGTTCTTGTAGGGTGTGTTCTACTTCGGTAGCTGATCCAAAATGCCGTGTGACAAACAACCCAATATTGGTCTTACCTAACACACGGTGTTGATTGTCTGAATCTAGCTTCAGTTGCCACTTTTTGGATAGGAATTAAAATAGAGTACCTCTGGTAGAGGTTGTTGTTATTCTTGTAGGCTGTGTTCTACTTCGGTAGCTGATCCGTAATGCCGTGTGACAAACAACCCAAAATTGGTCTTACCTAACACACGGTGTTAATTGTCTGAATCTAGTTGCCACTTTTTGGATAGGAATTCAGGCAGAGAACCTCTGGTACAGGTTGCTGTTGTTCTTGTAGGGTGTGTTCTCCTTCGGTAGCTGATCCGTAATGCCGTGTGACAAACAACACTACGTGGCGTTAATTGTCTGAAGCTTGCTGTTTATAATAACGTTAATATTTATGATCGTGTTGTAAATTCTAGTCAAGCTAGAAATGCATATTTACTTATTTTCGCCATGTTTGTATGGTACAAAAATACACAAACTGGGATCAGATCGCATTTCAGACTCTTGAAAAAAACTAAGGCTTAAACTTTTCAAATATATTTAGATTTTCAAATATTTAAAGATGTGTGATAGGAACTTGGGCTCTCACATAGTGCAGCACCTACTGGCGATATTACAGATGTCCATGGCAGCGAGCATTAATAGCATTAACGGTTTAGTAATATATTCATCACTTTTGCCAGTATGAGTATTTGTCTTTACATATATGCATTATGAGTGGGTGGGAAACAGTATTTTTCTAAGAGGTCATCCTTTAAAAAAACAGAAACCAAAGAGGTGTTGGCAGTGCATGTCTTTAATATTGAGATTTTTTCACATTTTAAACCACCCTTGAAACAATCACATGGTAGAGTTGATTGTCTGAAGCTGGCTATTTCATTAAAATTAAGATTTGAGATCGTGATGAAAATTTTAATCATGAAGCAAGTCGCAAGATGCATATGCACTTGTTTTCGCCATACATCGTCTATGTGTACTAGTCACACTAGATATGCTTTGAAAAGCAACACTGACAGTTGTAATTTGTAACAAAACTAAGAACAGAAATAAAAGAGTGGTAGTTCTCTTAAGTCTACGTTATGTTAATCAATAAACTGGTCATATAATACGCATGCACATTTATATAGCCTCAATCTCTCTCTCTCTCTCTCAATGCGCGCGTGGACGGCATCCATAAAATTTACTTGGTGTGGCCTAATAATCATTTGTTTTCGACATACCTGTGAAAATGTGTACGAGTCACAATGCTATGAAAAACACTATAAAAGCAACACTGACAGTTGTAATGTGAAGTAGAGATTAAAAAATGGGGTCAGTAGATTTCTAGTTTTCCTAAGTTTACTTTATGTTAATTAATAAAATGCTAATCTAAATACATGTAATACAGATGTATATATACGTTTGGGGGTCTTCGGAGGATGTCATCCATAGAATTAAGGCGGTGTGGCCTTAGAGTAGAAAACATTACAGTTAAGCGTGCCTCAGGTTTTCAGCAACCAAATGATAAATGTCCCAAAATCTTAGCTCTGACCTTTTAGTTCAAGCGTTATTTCCTGCTACAAGGAAAATTGTTTGCACTTTCTGGAGTAGACTGACAAAAATTAATAAAAGTTGTTTTAAGTACAACCTTCCAGTTTCTAGTAGCTCGAGTACCGTCTGGTATGGTTATTGTTATAAATGTAATATCACTACACACATATGTCTGTAACTGTGTGCAAAACACTTATATAAGCAGGGCATACAGGAATGTAGGCTCTCCAAATCTGATCCCTTTTGAACTAGTTCCTGGTTTATGCTGAGGTCACATTTCCAAACCGGGGTACTCTCAGTGTTTCGCATTTGTTGTTGTTTTTTTCGACATTTTATTATTCTTTTTGGTAGTGAATAACGTTTTAGACCCCTTGCAAGTTCGTACGAAAGGGAATATATAGAAACGAAGTGAGTAAGAAAAGGCGAGAAATAGAGTGAAATAGCTGCGAAAGACGTAACATTATATTTGAAACCGATTTGTGGTGTAAATTCACGGTTACGAATACATGTGGTTTAATATGCAAAGCGTACATACTAAAGCGTTACTCCAAGTCAAGACATGATTAATGTCACCACCTCTTTTGTTCAATAACTTTTATATTGTGTACCGGCCAAATATTGATTTTAAACTTTAGCTTCGTCTCCAAAAACTCGACGACTCAGACCCAAACGTTTTCCAAATGACGTCGCAAAGTAAACCTGACCACCTGTTGTTTGAGTTACCTCGTGGCGCTGAAGTGAAGTACTTGTACAGGTATAAGTACGGACACCCGGGTTAGGCCAGCGCATTGCCGCTTTTCCTGTGTGTTCAACCGCGAAGAAAGCGTCGCTCAAGGTAAAAACGTTAGACTTCTCTTATTATAGTCTTTGTTTCTTTTCTTCTACATGTACATGTGCAGATGTCTCACTTTTTTACCTGACCTTCTTAGTTCAAGATATGAATCCAGTATCTTGAAAATATCTTGACATCAGTTGATTTTAGTTGGTGTATCTTATATTATTCTGACTGGCAGAGAGAGAGAGAGAGAGAGAGATTTTATATTACTTAGATATTATTTTACTCGTTTATTGGATGTTTTAGATCAAACAATTAGCAGCGTATTAATTTATTGTCGTCCCGTTTCAGGCATCCAGTCATCACCATGCAGACCTTGCTAGTTGTGTCCCTATGCCTCGGCATCGGTAAGTCCGGACAACCTCCGTCTTAGTTTTTTTTGTCCTAAAATCTAAACCACCCGTACAAATAATCACAAATATTACACATTTGACTGTTAGATACAATTTATCAAGTCTTTACCTACAGATTTACTTCTGAAATCAAAGGAACCACATATTATGGAAGCAGTGGGTAAATTTTGCATTGCCTCAAAAGAAGAAGTCAAACCCAGCAAAACTAGCACCTCATATGTTGTAGAATGTAATATAATGTTAGAGTCTAGCGTAGTCTTTTATATCATTGTATTTTCTTCTTTCATACACGTTGTTTGTACCTGCAATTAGGCCTCGTGCATGCATTTGCGATAAACTTTTTTTATACTTTTCATCCCCGTTTCACCCAGCCCATGGCCAGTCCATCATGACAGTCCGTACCACCCATACGGAGGTAGAGGTGCACGCCGGCGGCAGTGTGGACCTCCCCTGTAGCTTTCACATCAACGACACCCAACCGCCGGTCATCTCATGGCTTAAGGGACCCTCACCTGACAGTAGTGTCAAGGTGTTCAAGGTAAGGAATTTCTGCTGATCTAAGAAAAGAATAACCAAGGATAGTCAAGGTGCCGCCGATTTTTGACCTGGCGACAGTAGGTAAGCTTTTTTTTTCAATTTTAATTTGAGCTATAACCTGAAATACATGTTCTAGAAAAAGAAATTATGTTGTAAAGTCTTCCTTGTTCGGAGCGTCAAGGTGGTCAATGTAAGGAAATTCTAGCCTCTACTATACCAGGCTTCAGGAGGCGGATGGCCTAATAGAGAGCTAACATGCCAGAAGAGTTGGTCCGGTAGATAGAGTACAGTTTACCGCACCCAAACTGTACTCTCCAGCGGACCAACTTCCCTGGCATGTTAACTGAGCTATAATCTGAGATATATTTATATTGTGAACCATTCATTTGAAAATGTTTCTCTCCCAGGGGAACTACAACTGGCTTGGAGAAGGAATCGCCTTCCAGGAGAGCAACAGCTACAAGGAGAGTTTCGGCGACTTCAACGGGCGGGCCAACGTGCCCAACCTAGCCGTGCCGACACTACGGCTCACTCACATACATCCACAGGTCAGTCTGGCATAGAACTAGTCATATATATAATGGAATGAAATAGAATATTCTGTTCTACTTCCATTCTATTATATTCTGTTTTATTCTATTCTATTCTACTCTATTCCATTCTTCTTGTTCTATACTAGTCTACAGTTAAACCAGTTCTAATAATATATAAAGTGATATTCTGTTACATGTGTTCGATATTCTATATGTTCTATTCTGTTCTATATTACTCTACACTCTATTCTGCATACTATTCCGCTGCTCTATGGAATTTTATTCTACTCTAGATCTGCCTCGTGCTACTGTTTTCTCTATTAAAGTCTATTCTGCTCTTCTTTGTATATTCTATTTTCTGAAAATGTGACTGCCAACCCCAAGTGCCTATATATAGCAAGACCAACGGTGCAAATGACTATGTTGCTTTCTAATTCTTCACTTATTTCGCTCTATCATTTTTTCTCTTTCCATATTAACTGATGCGTGTTTGCCCAGGACGAGGGCCGGTACTGGTGTCAGGTTGCCCAGTGGAGCATCAGGACGGAGTTCGGACTGGACGCCAAGTCGGTGGTGCTGAGGGTGACAGGTGTTTAACACGTCTTTTACTTAATGTTGGTAAAATTTATGTGTGCGTGAGGTAGAGAGAGAGTGTGTGTGTGTGTGTTCCTGTGTGTATTTGTGTGTGTCTCGATGTTTCAATGTATGTGGTTATGTGTGTGTGTGTGTCTGTCTGTGTGTGGTGTGTGAGTGTGTGCAGTGTGTGTAGTGTGTGTGTGTGGGTGTGTGTGTGTGTGCGCATGTGTGTAGTGTGTGTGTAGTGTAGTGTCTGTGTGTGTGTGTAGTGTGTGTGTATGGGTGTGTGTAGTGTGGGTATGTGTTCATGTATGTGTCAGTCGGAGTGTGTGTATATATTTGCCTGTGTATGTGTGTTTCTGTCTCTGTGTGTGTGTGTGTGTGTGTGAGTGTAATACTGTATATGTCATGACCAGGTAGCATTGGGGGGCGCAAGGACACATACACATACTAGTACTTCATACTTTCTTAAGACATTTTCGCCCTCTCCACCAGGCCATGCACCCTCCAACAACGTCCACGTGTCCACACCGGAACTCGCCGAAGTTGACGAAGGAAATGACGTCACCATGACGTGTCCGTGCAACAACTGCGCAAACGCCAACGTCACGTGGTACACCGGACCAACTTTCTTCGAGAACTATGAGGTATTGTTTTTCCTACTTTTTTTGCCACAAAGTATTTATTATAGAGTTGGATTTTCTGTAATATTGTGTGTATGTTTGTCCGGCTAGAATGGGTTGACAGCATATGGGTGTGGGGAGAAGATTGACAGGCAGAATGGCGGGAAGTTAAAAGGTCAGACACAGGAAATGGGGTGAACTTTGAAAGTCACGAAAGCTCTTCTGGATTTCAGAAATCTCCGTTTTTGGCGACGGCACTGGGTCGGAGTCTTTTTGTATATATTATGTTGCCAATGCCATATTGGGCAAATTCTAGGAATTCGGCAAGATAGTCTGCCCATGCCGGGTTGTCACTTTTCCTGTATGCATCTGTCAGAGGTGACATCTGGCGACTGAAATCAGACCTGCAGGATTAGTTACGTCTTGGTTGTTGTTCTTCGTCTCAGACTGGCACCTACAAACCCCTGGCCAACCGGAACCAGTTTGGCCACACCTGGTTCGATCCTGAAATCGCCGGCCGAGCCAGTTTTAGCGGCGCGCGAAACCTCGTCATTCGGGCCGCGAAGATCACGGACGCCGGGCGCGTGTGGTGCGAGGTGGCGACCGGACAGACCGAAATGGACTCCGATAGGTCCTCCACCATACTCAGGGTCAAGCGTAAGCTGTTTTTTTGTCTTTTATTTCAATAATAACATTTGGTGACAAGGAAATAGCCATGCCTTCAAATACTATTGTTATCAACCCAGAATTGAGATTTGCGACCGGTCTTAAATTTCACAGCACCGTACTCCAAGTCAAGCGTGCCCTCCCCAAAAAATCAACATCATAACCCCCTACCCAAACCTCTGCTTGGAGAGTAGACTTTTATGGCCATCAACGCATAGTAACTGTGATTTGCCTTCGTCAGAAGGCTATGAAATCGTTTTGCTATGGGAGACTATGCGGCATAACTCTTGAAGGCATGAATCGATGTTCATGATTTTTGGTAGGCAGGTTACCGTCGGGGAGACCAAGATCAAGTTCAAAAATTGGCTTCGTGGAGACTAGGTTGAAAGTAGTCTCCACCAGACTCCTTTGCAGGCTGAATAAATAGTAAAAATCTGCTTAAAAGGGGATATCATTGGCCAGAGGCAGAGTTGGCCGGCCAGAGAGGCTCAATTTGCCTGCACGAAGTCTGTGAGAAGTCGCTATCCTCTTTGATGTCCACAAATGGATCGATGATCACGATTTTTGGCAGGCAGGTTACCTTTGGGAAAACCAAGGTCAAGTTCGAAAATGGGCTTCGAAAGAGGATGTAGGACTCGAGAGCTATAGTAGGTTTGGTAACCAGGCTACTTTGATGGGGCCATCAACGCATAGTAATAAGTTCTGTGTTTTGTGTTTCTGTGTAGTGGAGCCGTTCACATGTGACGATAAACCTACGGGACTGTACGCAGACCCCACAGCATGTGACTACTACTACCAGTGCATCCCCGGCTACCCTCCGCTGCACCGCCCATGTGGCTACCCCGGCATGGTGTTCAACGAGGCCATGCAGTACTGCGACTGGGACATCAACGTCCCTCCCCCTTGCGGGGTAAGTACACATTGCAGCTCATAAACAAAGAAGGTAACATTTCCAAAGCAAATGAATTATGTTTATCTTCACATGGCCCAGCGTAACAAACTATTGCTTTGTTTATTCTTACTCAAACATATTCATATATATGGTGGCAATGTAGCCCCTCTTGAACTTAGTTCTACGTGACACATTGTGTAACCCAACACCAGTTACCATGGTGACAGACGTCTGGTCCAGGTCATTGACCTCATTTGTTTGGAGAAGAAAAAGAGGAAGAAGAAAGAGAGCAAACACGAATCTAGATCAAGGAGGTTAAAACTCTAGATTAAAAAATAGATTTTTTAAAATATCTAGATTTTTAACCTCCTTGCTTTCTGTAAAATAACTGAAAAATCGTCCATGTATTTTGTTGTTTCAGAGCGCACAGGCATGAGCACAGAGCGACGCCACCTTGCGATAGCAAGCGGAAAAGCACCCAAACTTCAGTCAAGCAAGGCACAGGCTTACTGCAACAATAAAGATTAGCAAAGCATCACATACAAGTCTCTTGTCATTGCTTCAAGGTATACTCTCCAATTAAAGCAGGGGTTTGGGTTTTAGCTTAGTGTGTTGGGTTGGTGTAAAAATAGAGTGAAAGCCTAAAGTATGCCAAAACCCAAACCTCTGCTTGGAGAGAACAATGTATTCAAAGAGTATTGTTTTGGGTGGCTGAGAAATGGATTTGTGTCTATGTTTGTCCGAACAAAGCAGGTTGACAGCACATGGGTAACTAGTATAGGGAAGATTGACAGGCAGACTTACAGGTCAGGCACAGGAAATGAGGTGAACTTGAAGGTCACAAGAACCACTAATGCTTCCAGAAAATCGGAAATCTGCTGAAAAAAATTAAACAAAATTATGTAATGAAATTGCCTCTGAAGCAACTGTAGAGCAATTGTGTTCATGGTAGCAAAAGCTCATAGTCTGAGAAAAATGGAGGTGTTCACAGAACTATATATTCACTGTGGCACAAAAAATAGTCTGCAAATCATAATGCCAACGGTAATGATAAGTTCACAGTACAAAAGTGACCATGAAAACTGTGAACATAAAAGTACCATAAAGATTTGAAACATCAGAAACCGTACTATTTCACACTTAAGCCTAGAAAGCATGAAACCAACCAACGCTTTGTTTTTTGCAATGTTTTTAATTAAAAACCAGAATCACAGAGTTACAGGTTCGACAAAATTGAACCCTGATTTTTTATCTTCCTTACTCTCTTTTTCTTGCAAAGACAACAAATAGGGACTCTCCCTTTTACAGAACATGAAGTACAAGAAAATCTCTGTCATAGTTCCTGATCCAGTCAACTACTAGTATTGTGAAAGGGGGAGGGGGGCACAGTATAGGTGGAGCAAAAAACATTAGTAACAATGGCTAAAAGTTGGCCTTCTTTTCTGGTAAGCCCACACCAGTTTGAGTTTCTGGCTCTCATGTTGTTCTTTCTTTCTTTCTTTCTCTTTTTTTTTAATTGTTGAATTGAAATAACATAAAATCCAAGTTTGATGAAAAAATCTGCATTCTGTTTTACCAAGTTTTAGGGTGGCCACAAATTTAGATGCAAGCTTCCAAGAATCTCTTCCCACCCTGAAACTTTACCTTAAAATGTACAAGAACCACAAAGCTAAATTGGTATGGCCTAATTGTGGCTCACAGTTGGCTTCTATACATGTATCTGCTTGGGCAAACATTAGGGTAAATTAGATGCTAGATGATTAAAGAGCCAGTACTATATACTTGCATTTTATTACCGTATGCAAGTACAAAGAATTGGCTCCTTTTCTAATCTCGCACATTTCATGAGTTACTAAATATACACAACAATGACAATGATTCCAAAACGTCTAAACTAATGAGGGGGAATGTTACAAGTTGTAGATACAAAACTAGCCTCTATTAGGCTTCAGAAGCAAATGCAAGGAGTAGAAATTGGCCAACTAGAAAGACAACATGCCAGGGGAGTTGGTCAGTTAAAGGAGAGCAGTTCTAATGTGGCATGTTATCTATTTGGCCAATTTCTACTCTTTCCAGTCACCCCTGAAGCCTGGTTAAGGCTAGATACAAACAGTAGTACTCAAGATTAAAATAAACACTTAAAACAATCTATCTAATGTAACTTCTGGGGTTAAATGTTATCCCACACCCCTTAGCCACCCCCTTCCCCCTGGTTTTCTGTTGACTGGTGCAGGGGCTATGAATCTCACCCTTAGAGGGATTTTTCAAACACACCACATGTACAACACTCTCACCCATGGTCAAGTGCATCTTTCAATGTAACGCAACTCTTCTGTCTTTAGTTTTGTTCCTAGAAGTGTGTTATGCAAAGATAACGAATTTCGAAAAGCGTGGAAGTCAATTTTAGGAATTTAAACGTAACCGAAGATATTTAATTGTTGTAACCTCTGCTTAAAGCTTTAGTAAATGTTGCTGGGTTTTGTTGATTTTTACTTGCGACAAAAAAAAATGTTGTGATGCAAAGGCACAAACACTATGAAAATGCCGCATTCCTATAAAAGTTTGGATTTCAAAGACATTGCGTTTGTAAGTTAATTTATCTAAAAATTATGTCAGCAAATTTCAAAGGTTTTATTATTACTTCAATCCATTGTAGTTTAAAGTAGAGCAAATGCCAAGAAAATTCCGCATCCCTTCAAAAAAATCTTTAGCACATTAAGACAGATTAATCTATCTAAAATCAAGATATTTTATGGGTTAGAAAATCTTTAAATTACCCTGCAACGTTTGGACTAACCTATACTCAAAATCCATTCAACAAATTTAATGAGTCGAACCCAGTAACTTGAATATTCAAAGAACCAACTTCCCAAAGTCTGCATAGGACCATGAAAAGGCAAATACAAGCCTTGCCGAAGCAACAAATTTCAGGTTTCAGTTATGTTCTTGTATGTGATCCTTCAATCTGGGCATTTTAATGCTTTTCACTGCAAGTTGTGGGCTACGATTTATTTTGTCAGACTGTGAAAAAATTGCAAAAACTTATTTTGAGGAAAGTTTTTAAAAAGCAAAAGTTACAGTTTTGAATATGAAAGCAGAGCTATATTCTTAATTTCATTGTTATTAACTAAACTAATGCCAAGCATGAGTCTCCTTAGCTGAAGTTTTGAGAAAAAACTGGACTTTGAATGCTGACAGTGCTTTTCTACTTTTCTTGCTGTGCATGAAACCAACATATTTGTTTTTCACCCTCAGAAATACAGAAAAATGTAACAAATTGAAAAGCAGCAGTAGCACATACATTGTACCTATACGACATGAGAATGTATTCTCGTTTCTTGCTTTGCATGAATTAACCAAAATCTTTTGTTCTTATACCTTCAACGAGAGACAAAATTATGTAACAGACTAAAAAGCAGCAGTATCATCATCTGCACAAATATTTCCTTCTTCTATGACCAAAATGATATTTCTGGGTTTGGCTCCTATACTGTGATGTTGTTTGCAAATTTTTATGTTACCTAACCAAGTTGATTCTCTAAATGGGTGAACAATTACAAAACGCACACACATGTTGGCCCGAAAATTCAGCTGCATTTTAGCTATTGCCATGGTTAAAATAAGAACTCAGTGGTTGTTCCAATCCATATGTTCCTAGAGCAAGAAAATTCTTTGTTCGGCCCAAATTGTTCCTGAACATCTTTGACAAAAAATTTTAGTTTCACTATTATTAAAGGCAATGTTTCTTTGCCTGTCTCTGTCTCTCTCTCTCATTCTTGCACTTGCATACACCCTTGCATTCTTTTCCTCATGACTTGGTCCTCAAATTTTACTTGCGAAACAAACAAAAAAGGTGTATCAAAAAGGTCGATGACAAAAGAATTAATAAACACCTTCTGATTTAGGTTAAAACAAGTCTTTCTGATCATCGTACCCACATTTCATAATTCTCTCGTCTCTCACCACCTCCTACCTCTAAATCCATTATTTACAATTTAACAAAGTGGAACATATAAAACCAAAGAAGTCTAAAGAGGATGGAGGGAAGAACTTTCGTCACTCGAACAACGCTGGGACTTTGGAAAAATCTACAACTTCTAGCCTTGAACGTCAAGTTGTAAGAGGGATAGCAAATTTTTTTAAACCAACAAAAAATATGCTTCCCTCGATTGTTTAGTTTTACTTCATTTTGAATCTGTAACATTTGGCTTTGAAGTTGTTTAGATATTCCAGAGTCCCCAAGAGTTGTGAAATTCAGAGTGACTGAAGTGTTAAGGCAACACCAATTTAAATTGATGGTTCTCGGATCTGATAGAAAAACAAAATTGCTGAACTAGAAAGATCAACATGTAACAGTTGATCAAATCATATCCAGTTGCTTGAGTAACTGTTTTTTGGCATGTAACAGTGTCTGGGAAACTTGCAACTTGTTTGAAACAGAATTTCTGGGAACAAATCTAAATCAGGTACAAGTTTCTCCAGCTTTCTGTTATCATGCAAAATTTTTGCTCAAGAATATCCAAGAACCAACAAAATAAATCGGCGCCGCCCAAAAAATGTAGGAAAAAGTTTGACCTTAAATTGATTAGCTATTCAAAAATTCCCTGCGAACGCCTGGATTCCATCACAGACCATTCCAGTGAGAGCCTAATCACTCAGTTTCGAACCGAATCACTCAGTCTGGGGGCCAAATCACTCCTCCTCAGATTCTGACTCAGACCCTGAACTACTTGACTCAGACTCGGAGCTGCTGGAACTACTTTTTTCCGCCTCTTCTTCGTCACCACTTCCTTCCTCTTCTTCATCCTCTCCTCCTGATCCGGATTCGTTGTCTTCCTCTTCGCTGGAAGATCCAGATTCTGATCCGGATTCGCTGCCTTCGGACTCGGAGCCTGATCCAGATCCAGATCCGGACCCCTCGTTTCCCGATCCCTCGTCACCAGATTCCTCTTCGTCATCCTCATCCTGGAAAATTTTTTTAAAGTTTGGCTCGTGTCAGATGATGAAGTTTAGATATCCAGGTATATAATTGTAACACACAAAAAACATGCACACACGTACGCATACACACACAGGTTGACAATGCAAAAGAAACTATGATTGTACATGTATCTGTTGATAGATATTTTATGTGTTATTGTTGTGCTTGTTGTCTGAATATCTGTGTAGCAAGATTTAATTTTCTTCAGTGTTTGTAGCTTAACTTCTTTCTCAGTTTTCTGCAAAACCTTAACAGCTTTGGACAAAAAAATTTGATTTGTGAAATGTATTCTTTTATGAACATATACATGTAACACAAAAAAGCCATCATGAAACTTACATGTGTAGTAGATTAGCTCATATTGAAGTACATATTGATCTCAAGCAGATTTCACACTTTCAATCATAATCACTGTAAGCGATCTGCTTTATCAACATAGCCTGTACTTAGCTTGCAAGAGAAAAAAAATGCACTATAAAGGTTTTTCATTAATCCCTGAACACTCACCGAACCCTCGGATTCTGACTCTTCCTCTGAGGCTTCCTCCTTCTCTTTCTTGATCATCTTGGCGAAGAGCGGACTGTTGGCCTCACGCTTTCTCTTCTACATGGAAAAAAACACACAAAACGATCACGTCATTAAATACACTTCAGGGCTTGAAATCCTTTTTTCTGCATACCTACACTGGTGCAGGTGACATTGAAAATTACCTGCACCAGATAAATTTTACCAGCACCAGATAGATTTTACCACCGCCACTCAGACTTTGAGAAGTATGGATCATACTAAAAATTGTTTAGATTAAGTAATTTCACTTTGCATTTTGAGCTGGAAATTCCTACCTTGCCAATGCTGGGGTGGAGTTGTTCATATCTTTCTCTAATGTCTGTTGGAAGGTTCTGAAAAAGGAAGTGCAACAATTTAGCAACTTTAGCACTTAAAAATCAGGAAAACTGGCCACTCACTCACTCAGTCACTCACTCGCTCACTCACAATACAGCCTTATATGTTTGCGACAGTATTGACATATATTGGGCATGCTAGAGGATTGAACCCAGGACCTCTTGATTCCTGTGTGGTATAAAATCTTGGTTACTCACATCTAACCAGGCGTGGAGGTCCCTATGGTACTGCTGCATACGCTCCTGGCTACGCTGGTTGTACGCCGCACGCTCCTTATCACTCATAGCCTTCCATCGTCGCCCAATCTCTGACATCCTCTCTCGGTGGTCCAGATCCGTCAACTTGCCGAGAAGCTCCATGGAAAGTAGCTGATAGCCGGACCTGTGGGAAGGGAGACGTTAGAACTGTAAGAAGGAGTAACAGCGATGCAACCCAACAGTTCTGTACCATCCCTGAAGTGTACTATCAGCCTTTTCACAAAAATTTAGAGTAGGTGCCTTAAATGAAAAAGCAGCAGGCGAGCCATGAAGAGATTTGTACTGGAGGCTACAATTTTTTTATCAAATTTACACAAAAGTAGGCGGCACAAAAATTTGAGTAGGCGGTGATTTTCGCCTGTTGCCGGCTTGTTTTGAGAAGGCTGACCATACCAAAGGAGCACTCAAATATTGGATTCCATCACCTAATGTTGAGCTGGTGAAGTTGCTGAGACTCTAACCTGCAGGGGTTGACATTTGCTGTGCACAAGAACCAAAGGATAGAGGCACCAGCATCAGAGTGCAAGCACATCTAACCCTCAGTTTACAACAGACAAGGAACTGGATAGAGAGAGAGAAAGAAACGAAAGCTACAACTTACGTGGGAGGCCTTTTTGGTTCCCCCTCAAACAGCTTTCCGGTTTTGTTGCTCGTGCTGCTATTTCCAGTCTTGGTCTGCTTCTCATACTCTGCTAGCTCTCTCTGTGAGGAACAAACAAAACTGTTATTTTTCATCTCATACATTATTTTCATGAAGAGAGCTTTTTTCTTTTTACAATGACTTTAATCTATGTTTAGAGTTAAAACTTTTGGTCCAACACAAAACGTTCTCTCACCTAGAGCTTTTGACCAGTCACTCTGGTCTTCCTCAGTATACTGACCCAGTGAGGCTTGTCACATGACTTCTTTGAAGTGTGACGTCAACACTGGGTCAGTCTACTGAGGAAGACCAGAGTGACTGGTCGAAAGCTCTAGGTGAGAGAATATTTTGTGTTGGATCTAAAGTTTTAACTCTAAACATGTAACTACATGTACCAACACGGATGAACTTTCATGATACATTACGGTTGAGTTACACTTTCCAGAATACCTCATATCTCTTCTTGTCCTCAGCAGCTGCCTGTAGCCACGGCTGCTTCTCTCTCTTGGGCAGTTTTTCCCACTCCGCTGTCAGGGCGTCTGTCGCACGCTTTCTGTCATTCTGTACCAAGGAACAAAATACAAATGTAGAACTTAATACAATCCTTAGTGATTCATTCCAAAGAAAGGGGATCATACGTATACATGTGCCATACAATATAAGGCCAAGTAAAAGAATTACTGCTTACAATCAAAGATAGAGAACACAGATATCGATGCTATGTACAGCATCTACAAAAAATGTATGTAGGTTGTCGACAAATACAGTGAGCCATCAACACCCCTTCCTAAGGTGTCGCTCACCCTATTGGGAGCCGGGATTCAAACTCCTAACCTCTTGGTCCAGAGGCAGGGTCCCTAGCCACATGACTACTCCTTAGCCTACCTTGTCCCTTGACCCCCTGGTCGTGGGGGGCTACTCACACTACACTATTCTAGTTTACTACATTCTTGGTATCTTACCCTGTATCTGGACACATAGCTCTCCATCTTGTCCTCGCGTCACAGCTCCATGGCTGTCCTGGCCTCCGAGGGAGGAGGTTTCTTCTTCATCATGCAGACACTACACTAGAGTACACTACTTATATCTTACCCTGTATCTGGCATTACCTTACCCTGTATCTGGACACATAGCTCTCCATCTTGTCCTCCCGCCACAGCTCCATGGCCGTCCTGGCCTCCGAGGGAGGAGGTTTCTTCTTCATCATGCCGGCATTCCCGTCTCGCATGTAGTCTGGGTTCGCTTTGCTGAGATAAAAATTACAACAGAGAACAAAATCTTTTAAAAAGGATTTGATTTGATTCATTCAAATTGCAACAGTGAAATACAGGTGGGACAAAGGCAGCTGTTGCTGGTGTTGTGTCCCTCACATAGAAACAAATACAGGACAGACAATACTCATTTTCACTCGACTTAAGTGCGGAAAGTCGTGTAAAGTGCCTTTCCCAAGAGCACAAGATCCGTGGCTTGTCGGGACTCGAACCCGGGACCTCCTGGTTCCGAGTCGAGCACTCTGTCGTTATGCCACGGGACCCCACAGGAATAGGTACAGGTTTGCTTTGCTGGTGGACAATATATTGCCACAAAGTAAAACGTGTCCATACTGTAATCTTAGACTATCAAGTCCTTTTCTGTCTCCTCAGACAATAAGCACAAAACAACCTTTTTGGGGAAAAGTAAAAAAGCTGAGATGTGGTTTAACACTTACAGGAATGACTGCATCTGTTCTTCATACTCTCCTCGTGCCTCTTCCTCCATCTTCTTGTATTTCTCCTGTGGAGAGCAACAAAACAGACCTCAAAATACGCTCAGGTTAGGGATGTCCTCTCAATTGGGGACTTACAGCCGAAGGTCTTATGTCCCACCTTGAGGATGCTAAAGAACCCGCCACACTTATTGAAAAAAAAAAAGTAGGGGTCCTTCCTGGTGTACGTGGTGCAAGCCTTACATTCTGGTCTTCGGGTTTAAATTTTGAGAAGGTGATAATCAAATATGTTCTCAGACACCATACCATAAAAGTTCACCTGTGTTGGCAGTAATCATATTAAAATGCTGAACTTTATTCCAACACAATGGGTACACAGATCAAATTTTTCATGACCACTGTCACCATCAGAAGTGATTGGTCATTAATTATCTTGATGAAAGCGACAGTGGTCATTGAAATTGATCTCTGTGTATTCGTTGTGTTGGAATAAAGTTAAACATTTTACTATAAATACTACCAACACAGATAAACTTCAAAGTTCAACATTTTACTATGTTCTCACCTTCTTCTTGTCTGAGAGTTCGCTCCACTTGCGAGCCAGCATGCGGGTGATTTCTTGGTTGGAGAGGGACGGGTATTTCTCACGTAGCTTCTGCCGCTTCTCTTGCTGGTAGAAGAACACGGCCGAAATCGGGCGCTTTGGTCTGTCCGGGGTGGCAACGGATGCTGAGGTTGCCTAGGTTACGGGACAAACATAAACAAATGTTTTGTTTTGTCATACATGGAAAATATACAGTGAACAGACACCTTGTGTTTGTATAATGCAACTTCCTAAGTCATCGAAAACATAAACAGATGCCTTGTTTTTAGTCTAGGTTAGGAAAAATGCAAATAGATGCCTTGTTGGTTTTCTTGTGTGTTTGTATCATTTCCTTGATGGCTGTTTAGCTTTGGCCAAATTGGTAAAGCTGAAGAGCCCCCTAGCAACTTATATAGAAACTGCAGGACAGTTTGTTACCTGTGGTGCTTTTGCTGTGGAGGATCTGGTTGTTGTACCTGACCATTTTCCTTGATGCCTGTTAAGCTTTTGTTCCCTTTATAAAACTCAAGAGCCCCCTAGCAAGTTATGTTCAAACTGCAGTACTATTTCTTACCTGTGCTTTTGCTGTGGAGGATCTGTCGCGACCTGACTATTTTCCTTGGTGGCTGTTTTACATGTAGGTTTGGTCCACTTCATGTAGCTCAAGAGCCCCCTAGCAACTTATGTTAAACCTGCAGTTTTTCTTACCTGTGCTTTTGCTGTGGATGATCTGGTTGTGGCTTGACCATTTTCTGTAGTGGCTGTTTTAGGTTTGGTACACTGTATCAAGCAGCTGAAGAGCCCCCTAGTAACTCACATTCAAACTGCAGGGCTATTTCATACCTATGCTTTTGATGTGGAGTATCTGGTAGTTGTGGCTTGGCCATTTTACCCCATGACTACATGTATTCAGCTTTGGCCAACTTCATAGAGCTCAAGAGCCCCCTAGCAACTTATGTAGAAACTGCAGTATTTCTTACCTGTGCTTTTGCTGTGGAGGATCTAGTTGTTGTGGCCTGGCCGTTTTCCTCTGCGGCAGGTTTGGCTTTAGTATTTCCCTTCTCTTCAGCTAGCACCCGTTCTTTGTCCTCTGGGGATAGGGTCTGAAACAGGACAGAAATTGTTTGAATAACACATCCATTGGGTAGCAAGCAGTGAGAGATGGCAGACTTCACCCCCTTTACCCACACTGCTTTGCAACCCTTCTAGACAAGAAAAATTTCCAGCACAAAGAATTGTGGCAATGCTGCATTTTGAATATTTTGGGAATGACAGAAACAAACACACAGTGTTCAGTCTTAGGGATATATTCAAGTGAGTATTAAAGAGAAAAGTGAACAATACTTACTTCTAAGTACCTCTGGAAGTCAAACTCAAAGCTGGTCTTCAACTGAAAAGGAAAAGAGAGTACATGTAGCAATTAAAATGGCAAGTCAGTTTCCTAGAAATCAAGATCATTCTTTCACAATGTTGGCTGGATCAGTACACATTTTAAACAATAAGATGAATGATAAAATCACTCAATCAAAAAGGGTTGTCAAATAGCCTTTTTTTAAGCATGACTAGTACTATAATTCTAGTTCTTTTCTGAGCTGGTATTGTCCCGCCTTCTCACCTCCTCTGCCTTTTTCTGGTACCCGTCCTTCTCCTTCTGAGACATGGTTTTCCAGCGCCGGCTGCACTCCTGCATGCGCTCCTTGTTAGGGACGTCTGTCAGCTTCAACATTAGCTCCTGACAGAACAGACTGTAGCCATTCCTGTAAACAGTGATAGTGGTTAAACTTAAAGCTCACAGAAACAACATGGTCTACAATTTGTCTTGTAAGCAGTAAAAGAAATTTGCAGCAAAACTTTTCAGGTTTTAAAATGGTTCAGCTTTGCAATGGCAACAATAGGAAACAACACTAGATGCTCTAGTAACACGATTTACATCTGAAATAAAGAATTGTACTCTTCCTTGTTGCATGGTGGTGTTAAAACGGATTACAATGCAAGCAAGTGGTCAACAGAAACAGAGATGGGAGCATCTCCTACACCATAGGGTAAAGGAAGAACTTGTCTGACCCCCCAACTTCATGCGCACTGCTTGAGCTGAGAAGAGTGGCCCAAGCCCTTATGGAAACCATTACAAGAAAACAGAACTTATGGAGTTAAAGCAAGGCAATGTGATTTTAAATCTGACTGATATCGAAACTACATCCCTGTTGCACAGCTTGCAGCGTCAGGTAGCACAAAAGCTCAGAAAAAAAAATTAGAAAACAAAACTTACGGCGGAGGTTTGTCCGGTCGCCCCTCGCTCTTCTCCTTGAGTTTTCTCTCTGCCTTGGTCAGCAGCGGCCTGGGAGCCGAAACCTCGAAGTCAGGATGGTCCTTCATGTACTGTTCCATCTCAGCCTAATAAAAACACAGTTCAACAAGGAATGTTAGGTCTTTTCTTTCAGTTTTCTCTCTGCTTTGGTCAGCAGCGGCCTGGGAGCCGACACCTCAAAGTCTGGATGGTCCTTCATGTACTGTTCCATCTCGGCCTGAAGAAAATATTACATGTTATTGTTAGCATTCTTTCATGCCAACAATTCATGGCAACACATGGGGATGGCTTTTTCAACTTATTTTATGCTGCAACCTACATGTGCGCAGAAGACAAATATGGGACAGGACAATACTCATTTTCACTTGAGTTAAGTGAAGAAAGAAATAGTAGTAGCCTTTCTTAAAAATGTTAATCACAATATCCACAAGCTTTGTACACCTACAAAACCTCAGTCTATAAAAGTACAAACTCTTTATCAACAACGCAATCAGAGAGACAGCAGACTTCAGTCCTTTGCCCATGCAGCTTTGCAACTCTTTAACTTGTACAATTGACAATACTAGATGAACTGAACATGAGCATTATGATTCACAGAAACACACACATGCACGCTCATGACAGACGCACACACACATGTACACACACACACACATAATATTTTAAACAGTCAGAATAACAGACAAACCCAAAATACTTCAAATTCCCTTGAGATTTAGTAAAAAAGGGATAAGAAAACGAGGAAAACTCACGGTGTATTTTTTCTGCACCCCTAGAGCCTTGTTGATCCACTTGATTCTCTTCCCGTCCGTCAGAGCGTTCCACTGTTTCCGCAGGGCGTCCGTTGCCTCCCGCTTGTTGCCCTGGAGAAACAGAAGGTACATATGTATGTTTACGAAATGCTTCCTGGATTGGAACATATCCCCGCCCCTCCCAGTAATGTCTAAGTACAATGCTACTGTAACAGTAACTTAAAGAGCTCAGGATGTACTCAATAAATACAATACAATGGCTGCCTAGGCAGTAAAACAAGATGATAACATACATAAAACCTAAATCAACAGTATAAGCTTAGCAAATAAAGTAATTTGTCCAGAGGCCAGAAGTTATGTTGAAGAGGGTATAAGTTTAGTTACGCTTACAGTACATGTAGCTAAAATGATGGAAGGACTAAGGGCTTAGGTTGATGACTACATGTATGTGATTATAAATTTTTTGGACTTCTATCTTGAAATTTGTATTTTGTAAATCTGGTCATATTTTGTGTTACCCTGATCTGCAGAAGATGCCAGTGGGCCAATTTGATAACTTAATGAATAAACAAACAAACAAACTCACGTTGGGGTGGGCCTTCATGTAGTCATCCACCTTTTCTTGTATGAACATCTGGACAGGAGTCTTTGGTTTGGTGGGTTCGTCTGTCTTCCCTTTCTTCTTCATCTCTTCTTCTGCAAAGTCTGGGTGCTCTTGTCTGGAGGAACGAATGAGAGGTTGATGGAGAAGACAGAAGAAGTAAAACGGATGGAGAAAGAGTAGAAAGATCACAGCATGGTTCAAAGTGTGAATAACTTTGCTGACCATTGAATAAGGAATCCACTGAAAATATGTTCACGGAAGTATCTATTAAACAAATAAAAAAGTTCCATAGCCTTACCTGAATCTGACCATGTTGGCTTCATATTCTTCCCTTTCTTTCAGATACTGCTGCATGTATTTGGCCTGAAAATTACGTAAAGATCAAGACAAAAACTTGAAACATAAAGTGAGCACTTAGAGAAAGTGTTACAGTACTGTACCTTATTGTTGTTACAGTAAAACCTTTTAAAATAGCATTGTTGTTACTAAGTTGGAAAATAAAGGGCTACTTGAATTGTACATGTACACTAAGTGACATGTAATTCATGTTGTAATGTTGCAAGCAAATGAGGACAAGGTATTCATGATCAAAAATAAGATAATTTTAATAGTATGTTTCTACAAAAGTAACTTTTCAAGTTACTTTACTTTGTTCACTACAACAGTACTGTAAGATTTAAGATGACAATTGGAACACTGAATACATTCATGTAAAAATCATGTAACAAACACTTGGCCCTTGAAAAAG